GGATTATTTAATTATGGCAAAGCACACGAGGGCTATCTGCCTAAAGGGAGGGATGCCTTCGTGGAGGACGTTCTAACGGAAACTGGGTGGTATACACGTTACACATGGGGAAAACCACGAAAACGCCCATGCAGTCAGCCCGTTTCCGGGATTCGAACCTCGGACCGAACTACCAGTGTTCAGCGTCTTTACCGCTCGGCCGCTGGTGGGCAGAAAGAACGAAGAAGCGTAACAGAAATAACAAGAAAACGCTCTCGGTGACGTATGTTACGTTTGCGATGGGGATTCAAGCAAGACCATCTTGATGGGAGATCATCAAGATGGCCTTAATTCAAGGCTGGCTAGCAACAAAAATCTATTTGACGCTCCGAACTGGATTGAAATAAAAGGCGTGCTAAATAGTGAAATAAAGACAGCCCAAATAAATTCATGCATTTAATTTACATTTCATATAATAATTCATAATAATGAACCCGTTAGACAAATTTAATCCTAAAACTTGGAAAAAATAGGCAGCCTTACGTTTTCATTTGATACAAGAATATGAACATAAATTTCAAGATTTTTGGAAACGAAATAATATTTCGTTTTTGCGTCTCTACAGACGATCGATATAGATATTACCAAAAAGTTTTCAACAGAATATACAGAAGTTGCTACGTATGACATTCAGATCAAAGAAAACTGATGAAGTCTTTTAGTTCTGGAATTTTATAAATCATGCCTAACGAGAAATACAGTATGCCTCATAGCCATATATGTTATTTATCGTCATCATTATTTGGAAGCTAGTATGTTTGAGAAAAAGTATTTTATATATTAAAGCCTTCTAAAAGTGAAATGACAACCAGAGCATAGGACGAACATCTTGAGAACTCCATAAGAATTGCAAACACTTTAATCAAATCAGATATTCTCAAATTTAAAAGGAAAATTACATTAATTTTATTTCTTACAACGACAAACAAAATTTTCAATTAAATTTTACGTATACAATATAAAATAAAATGTCAAAATAATTACATTAAAAGAAATTAATAAAGTTTTAAAATTATTTTAATATAATTTTACGCTATTTTTTGTCAGCGCCCATTTTTAGAGTAAGGCAGTGACGTCTTGCCAGATAAGTCAAGTATTTTACTGATTCACTTAAATTTTCTATATATGTAATTTCTTATATATAGTACACATTTTGCAAATTTTAAATAACGCAGTCGACCCCGTAAATTTACCTTTTATAGAGGAATTAAAAAAATTCTTTCAGCAGTCAAACCTGGACAAATACGAGAATTTTCAATTAAACCTATGCTGATATGTGATTTGCTTATTTGGAAGGACATGAGTAGCTACTGACATTAGAAATTATTTGTATAGCCCAAACTATCTCTTCTTCCAGTGTGGCCCGGGGAACCTGAAACGTCGCACTTCTCTGAATGAAGGCGAGTATTAGTTTATGAGAATTTCTGCCTCTTTAATTATTTGACAGATTAATATGCAGCTTTGTCTATTATTGGAGCACGTGAAAAATTGAGGATTATCTCCGTTTTGCTTCTAGTGGGGGCCCACCATCAGGCAAGGAATGAAATTGCTGAATACTAAAAGTTTGATCAGCTCGGGGAAAAAAAAAAAAAAAAAAAAAAAAGAATCAGGCAGATTTTAGTGAAATTAAAAAAAATCTAGAAATTTTCCTGAGGAAACTACACATTAAGTATATGGTTCTTGAGGAAATATATATGCTTTATTATTTGAAAATTTAGCAGAAAGGATTTATGGTTATTTAAAACTTTTATTGATAAATCCTTCTTCTGAAGATTTTTAAAAGCTCTCCTGAATGAAATATAATTCAGCTTTTTAAAGTGTTAATCGATTTTTTAAATATTTCAATATTTTTAATATTTTAAAATCCTGAAACTGCTAATTTCGTAATTTTGTTTTGCTTGAAGTACATGTGCATTTGCACTTTGAGAATGCATTCTTAGAGAATAATTTTTAGAATTTCTTTAAGAATCCCTCGATTTGATAGCAAGAGCAGAAATACTGTTGCACGCGTTCTAAGTCAGATATTTGAACTAACTTCCTGAGAGCTTTTGTGAGAATAGCGAACCGAAGAAACAACTTAAGAACAAAACAAAGCAGTAGATCTAATAGAAGTACATATTATTCCAAAGCCACCTCTCTGCCTCAAATAGGCAAAGCAGTTTCATTAAAGAAAACTATTTATTGCTAAACATTTCGCACCCACCTGTAATTTTAAAATACATAAATCGCAAGAGTATATAAGAAAACTAGTGAGTAACAATTTGCTTGTATTTTTACTATAATAATTTTAAACTGAAACTGTAAATGCATTTTTAAATAACGATGGCATCATCAAATAGAAACCTGTTTCAATGTCAGACGCATTTCATGAAGAGATATCAAATATTTTAATAATTGAAAAAAATTAATTAATTTCCGAAGTATTTGAGACCCAACTACAACTTGTACATTCATTTGTTTAAAAGCTAGTAAAAGGTTATCACATATTTTCTTAAAAAGTAATCAGAGATAACTGCTGATACTGATTAAAAGCAATGAACGACAATATAATAAATTTTTTAGAAACAGAGGCGACATTATTTGTGAGATTTCCTGCCAGACCAATTCTCTGTTTTAATACTTTAATATTAATCGCTACAAGTCTGGCATAATTTACGTGACTCAAACAGACATGAAAAATGGAGTGAACTTGTGAAAAAAATGATCTGCATTTTATTACACGGTTTTCTTTCCTTAAATTTAATTCTTTAAAACAACATGCCTGCATTCAATGTGCGCACCAATTTAAGACTAGTAAAAGACTGCAACTTTAATCAGCATTATACAATCTAACGAAAATTAAAATATTCTTGTGGAAATAAAGTATTCTAAAAACGACTATGATGATAAGTCATATAAATAATCAAACCGGTAGTTTTATACCTTTAAATAAGTTTTATAGCTCTGATTGTAATCAGTAGTAAGGGCAGGTACTCGTGCGGTCAAAGGATGCCGCCATAACGTAATATAACAATGGGTGACGCAACGGGGGCGTGGCCTCCGCCATCTTGGATTTCCCCGGAAGTGACGACACCAGCGCCATCTTGGATCACGTGACAACCGGAAGTGACGTCGCTGGATGGGGTGACGTAGACGGAATGACGTCATGCATCGTTTTGTTTTTGATTCGTGACAACGATCTTTTCAAAGTTCTAATTTTCTGTGGCAACGACACCTATTTTTCAAAGTTTTTATTTTTTGTGGCATCGAATATATATTTTTAGGTTTTGTGGCAACGAACTCTTACACCACGTGTTTGGAATGACATCATCAGTTTAAGCGTGCTTTTACAAAATGGCATCGGGAGGATGACATCACCTATTCCTGTTTGGGCATGTTATTTTTCAAAATGGCGTCTGCCTTATTACATTTTTATGTGCTTCCGCTTAGGCGAACGAATACATTTTTCTGTGGACCAATCAGATTCTCTGAATAATGGACCAACCGCCTCTTAGCCAATCAGCCTTCAGATGAAATAAAGAGTTCCTACCTGATATAGAGTTGTCACGAGAAACGTTCAGCATTTCTTTCCCTGCTCTCGCCTTGAGTGTACGCACATTTTTTGCTTGGACGATCCTTGTTATTTTCTTCATCGGACTTTTATCTGTTTCTTCTCCGCTTCGAATATGGATCAGCTAGGAAACAACAACGCTGCAGAGGTAAGTTACTTTTCGAAAACATACTATTTTTAGAGAGTTAATCTTTTAAAAATTTATTTGTGAAAGTGCAATGTGGGCTTAATTTGCCTTTTATTTTTCAGATGGAAAATCTATTGGAGAAAGAATCCATGTCTTTGAATGATAAAGTGTTGAGCCATGATGTTCCAAGGGAATCAGATAGCTCTTGTGCCAAAAGAAAAGCAGTAGAAACATCCCATTTCGAGAAAAAAGTACGTATTTACGAAAAGCTTATAAACTTTTTTTTTTTTTTTTTTTTTATCTTACCTCATTTTTATGTATGTTCTTTTATTTGCCAACCGACTTACCATTTTTTTTCCTTTTCAGCGCAAAGGACTCTTTACCGAAGAGGCTATTCCAAAGGAACTCACTCACATGGGAAACAATGTCTTTGTGGGACCCAGCATTTACAAGGGAAAAGTGACTGTGCACATCCGAGATTATGCCAAATATGGTAAAGCTTACTATCCGACAAGACGAGGAGTAAACTTTGAGCCATGGTGTTTGAATGTTCTCGTAACCATCATGACAGTGGAGGAACCAGACCTGCTGATACTCAAATCTGGAAGTTGCCCAAGAACTTTGTAGGTCATGTATAAAGGATGACCCACTTTACTCTGAAATCAACTTTCTGCTCAAGGAGAGAGAAAAATGGTAGCCTCAGCATTACGAACTACGCAGTGGGAAGAACTGCTGAACAAACTTTAGCCGTATCAGTGACATTGTCACCACTAACCTCGTTTATCAAAATATGAACTTTTGTGAAGACTTATGAAAGCGTATCCGACGAACCTGTTAAGTGAGGAAAATCTTCCCCAATCCTTTTGATCTTCTCTATGGGAAGAGCACGCCTTCCAAACCATTGTAAAGATGTCGCTTGAAGAGCTCCTTCAGCAGCAAGGAGAACTAAAACATCCCAAGCTCATAGACTGTGAAGAACTCGATGTTCATAAAACAGAAACTGTGAATTCACTTGCTGTGAGATTACATCCTATAGACATTGCCAGACAATTTTATGGAAATATTTGAGGTGAAGAACCCTATTTAATGTTATTGAAACCTGCTCACTATCACCAAGGACTTTTTAAAATATGTATGTTTAACTGATGTATTAAACGAATTAAGAGAAGCGTTTTGTCCAACAAACTTGGAAGAGTATGGTGCCTTTGGTACTGAATATTATGAATATTTGTAAAAATAGATACTCAATAAAATGTTATTTTATTTTACAATGGCCTCATTCTTTGAATTCAGACAATCTTTAATGAAAAAAAAGGTATAGCATTGTATTTGCTACATATAGTTTTTATTTAGTACGAACTTATCGATTAAAGAGAATATAAATATGGTTGTTCGTAAACATATATATCATCACTTGTTCAACCTTTAAGTTGTTATGTTCATTTCTTATCTTTTCATTTCATTATTTTTTCCTATGGTAGTAGGAAGACGAATGGAATACATGCAGTTATGCAGACATAAGGTGAAAATCTTGGAAGTAAAAGAAATTCTTTATATCCAGGCAAAATCAGTACGATATGTGCTAATATTCATTCCTATTCGAAGCTTATTTTTGGAATTACATAGCATATAAAGTGTAAATTTAATAAAAAGAGATATAATGAAAATCAAGTACTCTGCAAAATCTGAACGATAATTATGCAAAACTAGTTATAAGGCAGTTTTTCATAAAAAGTGGTTCCTGCGGAGGAAACATGCCAACAATCTTCTGAAACTCTAAGTGGGCGTTTGATCTTCTCTCTTACGTAGAATTTACAACTCTACTTTACTTTTGTAAGTATTCCATTCGTCTTCCTACTACCAATAGGAAAAAATAGAGTTACGTGAGAGATTTGGAATTCTGACGTTCATATGAAGGTTGACTAAAAAGAGGACAAATCAGACATTCTGTTATAATTGATTAATACTCTGAATAATAAAATTTTAAGAAAACATCAGTTTCATTCACGTGAATAAAATAAAATACATTTTCAAAAAAAAAAAAAAATTCAATCCAGGAAATCTATCACAAGTGTCATCATAGACGATCTACAAATATATTTTTAAGTATTTAAATATTCCATAGGTTGAAGATAAACCAAGAAAGTATCGAGAATTCATAGGCATATACCAACAGCAAAGATAAAATAGTTTCCAATAGCGAAGAGAATAGTTTCCAATAGCAAAGAGAAAACAGTTTCATAATGTCTAAAAGACTACCGAGAGCACACTCTGGAGAGAAAAAAAGATGACATCACAAATACAAAAATTTTACGGAACATAATATTAGTTAAAAATTTTCGTTCGAAATTTTATTTCTGATATAGGAAAATACACATTAAATAATTAAATGTGGGTATTCATGTAAATGTTTGTAAAATACAAATATATAAATTTTTAGGAAACTTTTGCATATTTTTCTATTTTGGTAATAATACTTTTAAGTTAGGAAAATATTCTGTACTGAGCATATGTGTCTACGAAATTCTTTGGAAAAAGCGGAAAGTAAATAATCATTTCGATACTTCCCTAGAAATCAAGTGTTATAGTTGAAAAACGATTTAAAAATAACCGAGCACAACGAAGTACATAATAAATCTAACCGATGACTTTTCAGGATATATCCAGAATCTTTTAGTATGAATTTTCCCTTGAAATTTCTTCTCTGTGTATTTTTAGCAACGGAGCTTGTACATCTCCACAATTTGAGGCTCTACGAGATCACAATATACATACATGACAGGAAAAGATACTTTTGGATCGGCTACAAAAGGACTTTGCTCCAATCCTTTGTAAACACCCGGCTCGAACCCTAGAAGCTTCAGCTAATCCTTCATGAAGAATGACTTTGCAGTTTTTCGTCGGTCTTAATGGTCACTTTTTTCGTAACATGATAACTGAATTCAATCTTATTTTTATGGGAGGGTATTTTCATTTCATGGCTTTTAATAAATCTGGTATCGTTTCATAACATCCTGGAGGCACTCTTCTCCCTTCCAGTTTTCCATCTCCTAAATCAAATCCAAATAAATTATTGTCTTTTCGGACGTTATACCACGTGTGAGGGTAAATAAAGTCCACAAGAGATAATTCCCACTGATTATTTAAATCCATCGGAGTAGGAAGCTGAGTGGTAAATTGCGATATTTTGTTGTCTGGGAAAAAGCGCATGGAGCTGTCGCTGATCAGTGTGATAAAGAAAGACATGTTTCGTTCAAATGAGAGGTAAGCAGAATGTACGGGCCTTTTATACCCTTCTCACATCCTCTACCCAAGCATTGAAGCTTTCGGAGTACCCCTGAAATTTCACAAAATATTCCACTTTCCCTCGACGTTTCCTCTTTTTCAAAACTTTTTCTACGGGGTAATAACCAGAGTCGGAAACCTTTTGAAGTTCTTGTTTGTAAAAGGTCCCTTGTATGACTTCTCCTGCTAAATCTTTCAGTTTGTAGACGACAGGAGTCCTCCGAATAATTTTATAGATTGTAAAAATTTCTCTTGTCCAGTTTTGTTCATATCCTTTCTCGAACAGCATTTTTGCTCGGCTGATGCGCACCGTGTCTCCAATCTTTAAATCGGTAGGAACATGTTTTTTACTGATTTCTGATCGTACAATGTTTTCCAAATTTTTTTCTTGATTTTGTAATGTAACCGATGAGGGTTCCGTCTTAATACTTCGATGCCATGTATTGTTATAACTGGATATCAATTGATCTATAATAACATCAATATATTTTCGTGTATTCATTTCAGTAAAGTATTTCCACATTTTAGTTTTAAGGGTGCGATTAAATCTTTCCACGACAGAAGCTTTGGTTGCATTATGTGTCGTGAAAAAAGTGAATGTTTTTCTTTTTCAAAAAATCTTGAACTTGCTTATTGGTGAACTCTTTCCCGGCATCTGTTTGCAAAGATTCGGGTGTACGTTCCGAAAATATCTTTTCGAAAGCAGATTTGATAGACACCGATGTTTTATCTTTGAGAGGAATAGCCCAGGCATATTTAGAAAGGATATCTATACAAGTCAGTAAATATTTGTACCCATTATTAAATGAGGCTAACGGATTGCATATCTACTAAATCAGATTGAAATTGCTCGTTTAAGCCTCCGACGATGACTCTGTTTCTGGGAAATTTTGTGTCGCACGGGTTTGTGTAAAGTATAAGAATCTTTGGTTTGCAACCATTTCTGTATGTCTTTTGTTTTCACGCGACCTTTTAAAGCACGATGTAAAGCAGCAACACCCCCCCCGAAACTCGCGGGGACCTGAGGATCCCGATAGGTCTGAGCTAGAGAGCTGAGTTCATTGCAACAATTATTATCAAAACGATCAAACGTGCACTTATATTCATTTATATATATGTTTAACAGGAAAATAATAACTCGCCTATATAAAGATTTTATAATATGACATAAACAAGAAAGAAAAATGAACATAACAACTTAAAGGTTGAACAAGTAATGATATATATGTTTACGAACAACCATATTTATATTCTCTCTAATCGATAAGTTCGTACTAGTCAGTAAATACAAATAAAAATATATGTAAATAAAAACTATATGTAACAAATACAATACTATACCTTTTTTTTTCATTTAAAGATTGTCTGAATCAAAGAATGAGGCCATTGTAAAATAAAATAACATTTTATTGAGCATCTATTTTTACAAATATTCATAATATTCAGTACCAAAGGCACCATACTGTTCTAAGTTTGTTAAAAGTTTCTCTTACTTCGTTTAATACATCAGTTAAACATACAGATTTTAAAAAGTCCTTGGTGATATAGTGAGCAGGTTTCAATAACATTAAATAGGGTTCTTCACCCCAAATATTTCCATAAAATTATCTGGCAATGTCTATAGGATGTAATCTCACAGCAAGTGAATTCACAGTTTCTGTTTTATGAACAGCGAGTTCTTCACAGTCTATGAGCTTGGGATGTTTTAGTTCTCCTTGCTGCTGAAGAAGCTCTTCTCCTTGCTTCAGTTTGAAGGCATGCTTTTCCCATAGAAAGATAGAAGGATTCTGGAAGAGTTTCCTCACTAATAGGTTCGTCGGATACGCTTTCATAAGCTTCACAAAAGTTCATGCTTTGATAAACGAGGTTGGTGACAATGTCACTGATACGGCTAAAGTTTGTTAGCAGTTCTTCCCACTGCGCAGTCGTAATGCTGAGGCTACATTTTGTCTCTCCTGTCGAAGAGAGTTGAGTCAAAGTGAAGTAGTCATCTTTATATGTAACTACAATGTTCTTGGGCAATTCCAAATTGAGTGTCAGCAGGTCTGGTTCCTCCACTGTCATGATGGTTACGAGAACATTCAAACACCATGGCTCAAAGTTTACTCCTCGTCTTGTCGGATAGTAAGCTTTACCATATTTAGCATACTCTCGGATGTGCACAGTCACTTTTCCCTTGTAAATGCTGGGTCCCACAAAGACATTGTTTCCCATGTGAGTGAGTTCCTTTGGAATAGCCTCTTCGGTAAAGAGTCCTTTGCGCTGAAAAGGAAAAAAAATGGTAAGTCGGTTGGCAGATAAAAGAACATACATAAAAATGAGGTAACATAAAAAAAAAAAAAGTTTATAAGCTTTTCGTAAATACGTACTTTTTTCTCGAAATGGGATGTTTCTTCTGCTTTTCTTTTGGCACAAGAGCTATCTGATTCTCTTGGAACATCATGGCTCAACACTTTATCATTCAAAGGCATGGATTCTTTCTCCAATAGATTTTCCATCTGAAAAATAAAAGGCAAATTAAGCCCACATTGCACTTTCACAAATAAATTTTTAAAAGATTAACACTCTAAAAAATAGTATGTTTTCGAAAAGTAACTTACCTCTGCAGCGTTGTTGTTTCCTAGCTGATCCATATTCGAAGCGGAGAAGAAACAGATAAAAGTCCGATGAAGAAAATAACAAGGATCGTCCAAGCAAAAAATGTGCGTACACTCAAGGCGAGAGCAGGGAAAGAAATGCTGAACGTTTCTCGTGACAACTCTATATCAGGTAGGAACTCTTTATTTCATCTGAATGCTGATTGGCTAAGAGGCGGTTGGTCCATTATTCAGAGAATCTGATTGGTCCACAGAAAAATGTATTCGTTCGCCTAAGCGGAAGCACATAAAGATGTAATAAGGCAGACGCCATTTTGAAAAATAACATGCCCAAACAGGAATAGGTGATGTCATCCTCCCGATGCCATTTTGTAAAAGCACGCCTAAACTGATGATGTCATTCCAACACGTGGTGTAAGAGTTCGTTGCCACAAAACCTAAAAATATATATTCGATGCCCCATCCAGCTACGTCACTTCCGGTTGTCACGTGCTCCAAGATGGCGCTGGTGTCGTCACTTCCGGGGAAATCCAAGATGGCGGAGGCCACGCCCCCGTTACGTCACCCATTGTTCTATTACGTCATGGCGGCATCCTTTGATCGCACGAGTACCTGCGCTTACTACTGTAATCTTATTCAAAGATTTGTAATCTTTGAATAAGGTGTATATTTCCAGGAGCGTTACTCGTGTTCATTTTAATGGTAATCAATGTAATGTGAAATTCGACTCAAATGCATTTAAATTTTAAAATTTCCACAAATTATTGTCATTATCATAATAATGCGAATTAACTGAACGGAAAATGTATTCGCTAGTGGTTAAAATTTCACCAACAGCCTCTAGATTAACACCACTAGCTTTTAGGCTTCGTGTGTTTTCGTCCTATTAAATGCTAAATTTTAAGGAAGTTTCAGTCTAATATGTTGTATTATCAGCTCGGAAATCACATTCTAATTTTTAACCTCAGATAGCAGAAAATGTAAGGGAACCTAATTGCAAACAATGTTCGCTTGAGTTGGGTAAACTTTTTACAGTTCCAAAACACATGTGAAACTTTAAAAACACAAAATAATGGGTTAAAATTCAAAATTAACCTAACCTTTTGAAATATTAGTCAAATTAACAACTACTACATGTAGTCACAAAAGTGAGTTTTTGGTGAAAATCCAAATAAAAAATAATTAAGACATTCCTGTGGTATATAACCGAACGTATAACACAAATCAAAAACAATGACTGGTAATAAAAGTGTATGAAACGGATGAGGTTGTTTTCGTTTGTACTTAAGGTTCAAATATAGGGTGGCCCAGAAGTCACTTTACATTTTGAAAATTAAATAACTTTTTTTCTATTAATCTATTTCTTTTTCTCTTTTCAGAATTAAAAAATATAATCCTTGGAAATTTTTGGCATTGATAAGTTTACAACAGAACAACGAGTGAAGATAATTGAATTTTAATTTTAATAATTGAATTTTTCTGCTGAGAAATATCGAGACATGCTAACGAATTTTGTTCAACCTCAGTTAGTAAACATGGCAGGGTATTGGTGGCAACAAGATGGAGCAACTGCACATACTGCTAGAGCCACAATGCAGTTGTTAACTGCAATGTTTCAGGATCGGATAATCTCTCTTAAATCCGATTTTGAATGGCCTCCACGTTCTCCTGATTTGACAGCTCCGGACTTTTGGCTTTGGGGATATCTTAAAGACAAAGTGTATGCAAATAAGCCCCGAACTATTCAAGAACTTAAGGCAAACAACCTCAGATTTTAAGAAGTGTCATGGAGAATAGCTTAGAAAGAGCCCGACTTTGTGAAGACGAGAATGGAGGCTATTTAAGAGACATTATCTTTCGTCACTAAGTCACAACTAACTTACACACTCTAAGCTTTAATAAAAAAGAATTAATTAAATACACTCATTTAAGAAAAAGTTATTGAATTTTCAAAATGTAAAGTGACTTCTGGGCCACCCGAAAAACGCAAAGTTTAACTGAAAGTTTAATATATTACAGCTGGATACTACACTTAACTCTTGCGCAACTTACCAGTAGCAGAGCAGCTATCTTTTTTGGCCCTCAAATGGAACTACCTTTTACTGAGTAAGTGGCGAACACTTCATTACCGAACTAAATTCTAACGTTTGAGCTCTGCCGCACTTAGTTTAAATATTTTAAACTTTCCGATCTGAGGAAAAATCGTTGTGTGATAAAAGAATTGCCTATATCAAAATATAAGTGTTAGTAAAACATATAAATAGTTGTCGCAAATTTCCTAAATGCGAAATTCTTTCATCCGCTTCAAAAACTCAAAAATATTTTAAGTTTTTAATTGCAAGGTTTCAGCTGAAAATAAATGAATGTAAAAAATCTCAAGGACTTAAATGTCACGATATGCTTCGAAGAAATTTTTATCTACATGACAAGAATACCTTTAATTTGCTAAAAGTATGCTTAGCTTTTATTCTTCGACAAATGAACAGGCAACTCGCAGGCAATCGAAGTAAACTTTCTACTTAGACTCCAGTTCTTTGAAAAAGCAATGGATCGCACAATATAGACTAGACAAATGTCTAAGTACGTATAAAATTATGGAGTTCGTTTAACTATTCAACACAATTTCTGTTATCCAAAATTAAAATGGAGGTTGATCAGAGTTAAGGTAAGTAGAGTTTAATTTCTGGTAAAATTTTATCACATTTAAGGCTCAGACTGGAGTAAAAACACATTGAAATATATTTTCCCTGTAAATTTAGTTAACATAACTTATAAATATATTAAAATATGAATGATTAGTTGCCATGTGTAGCGGAAATTAAAAAATAAGTAAAAATATATCTGAAATTTATTAATTCACTGGGTAGCCGCTGACAAAATTCAGTTTGCGAAACGTTAGGAATTCTCCTGACATTTCAAATTGCTTCGGAGAAAATTTGGAAATTTTTTACCCATAAAAGTGTTCCTTTTTTTTGTTAGATTATCCTCTAGTTCAACATATTTTAACGATTATATTAGAATTTCATGTAGCTAGAATTTAAAATAAAGGCATATCGGCCTCATATGGACATGGTCCAATAAGGGGGGCATAGGTTTCCACTTCAAAAACAGTGTTAACAGCGAAGAACAAACACAAAGGCTTCCGAGTGGTCGACCAAAGCAAGTATGAATGAGATCTAAACCAAGCGGAAGGTAAATCAAAGACCCATACCCCCCCCCCCCCGATGACGTACTTCACAACTGCGATCGGGATTTAAGACTGGCCTTTAACTCGAAAGATAGGCTCTTTCGAGTTAAAGGCCAGCCACCAGAAATGAGTTAAAAAATATGCATTCTGAATGGCCAGATAAACCAAGCCCAAATGAACTCATATAATTATTTACAAATCATCACGTTTGACAGACGTAAGACTAAAAATGGGAAAAAATACGCAGCCTTTCTTTTGATTTTGTGCAAGAATATGAAAATAAATTTCAAGATTTTTGGGAAAGAAATCAATAATTTTGTATTTTTCCAGTCTACTTACAATCGATATTGGTATTTTCAACAAATCTTCGAATAGAATGGACAGATTTGTTATCTTAAATTCAGTTGAAGGAAAATTTATGTCAGATCTTTGTTGTATTTTATAAATCATGTCTAGGATGAAATAAATATGCCTCACTGCATTGCCAAGCGTTATTCTTCGAAATCACTATTTGGCAGTAGGTATGTGTGTGAGGAAATATTTTCAATAGGGAAGCAAACTAAGAGTAAAATTAAAAATAGAACATCGGATAAATGTCTTGAGAATTCTCTGATAATTTCAACCACTTCACTCGAATCAAACATTAAAGTATTAGTTTCTCAAATTTAAGGTCCAATAGTACCTTAACTTTATGATTTGTGTTAGTCACAACCAAAATTTACAATGAAATTGTATGCATAAAATGTCTAGTAATATGTGAAAATAATTCTCTTTCGCTATCACTATATTCAAAAATCATAAGTTAACAATGTTATTTAATCACTTAAACATGTTTATAATTTTTTCTCATCAGCTATCATCAGTATTACGCAGTGACGGCTCGCCGATTCAAACAAGCAAATGAAAGATTCACTTAAATTTCCTACATCTGCGATATAGTATATTCGCTTCCTTATATAAAGCACACGTTAAGCAAACTAGAAATAAAGCAGTCAAACGCGCACATTTCCCTCTCTTAGAGGAAAAGTTCAAAAATTTCTTTCGTCAGCCGACAAACCTGAGCAGACTGGAGAATTTTCAGTGAAACCTAGTAATAATCTGATTTGCTTATTTCGGAGCTCACGAGTTGCCACTGATATTCGAAATTATTTGTGTAACCCGAAATAGATCAACTTTTTCCAGTGAGGTCCTTGGTGGGTAAATGCTTAGACTTCTCTGCTTAAAGCATCAAACAGAAAAGAATCTGTATGATGTAGCTGCTGAATACCTGAATTCAAGGGAGTGACCGAGTATGGTATCTGTCCATTTGATTATAATTTAGGGTAAATATGCAGTTTCATGTACTATTAGAGCAGGTGGGAAATTAAATATTATGTCTTTTGTGCTTATAGAAGCTATCCATCGTGGCAAGGATTCAAGATTGCGACTAATAATTTTGAACGGGAGTCCCCCGGGGAGAATCATCGGACGGTCACCTTCCGAACTTCCACTACATGCACTCCATAGAGAGGACTTTGGGTTCGCCCGAATATTTGCAATGCTCTCATGCCGCAGGTACAATATCCATTAACAAATTTTCAGATATTCTCCGGGATTCGAGCCTGGGCCCTTCGGTAAGGCAGTCAGGGTCGCAACCCCTATCTCGGCTAGAATGTGTAATAATACTATGACAAAGATGAGGCTGTATCTCTTGTAGTTCAATTCCAAATATTTATAGACTTAAAGTTTAGTTTCAAAGTTAACTATATGATGCATCTGCAGTTAAGTGAAACTCTTACGTAGCTTAGCAGTAAACACAGCCACTATCTAATGTCGGCCTTCAGATGCATTTTAATGAGGCAGTGGCGAATACTCCACTAGAAGATCTGAACAGCTGTAACAGCATAGACGCCAACGTTTAGAATGGTGCCGGAGTGGAATGATGTCGATGACAAACTGGCGAAACGTCGTATTCTCAGATGAGTCACGCTTCTGTTTATCTAGTGACAGTCGCCGCATACGTGTGTGTGTCGTCGACTTGGAGACAGATCTAATCCGACAGTAACTGTGGACCGCCCCACCGCGCGACAAATTGGTATAATGGTTTGGGGCGTTATTGCCTACCATTCCAAGTCACCTCTAGTTCGTATTCAGGGCACTATGACGGCCCAACGATACTTGGATAATGTATTGAGACCGGTGGCAATCCCCTAACTTCAGGGGCTACCTAATGC